TCGGATGGCCAGCTCTTGCTGTTGACAAGGTGAAAACTCACCTATAAGCATATTTTTAAACCAAAACAATACCTGATGCTTAGAACCATATTTCTGGCTGTTGTCGCACAATATCTGATTAAGGTTACTCCTCCCATGCAAAACCTTCTTCCCCAACTTGATCAGCCCCTATTCACCGTATGGATGGACAGAAAGGTATTTTACTGCATTTTTCACAAATTGAAAGGAGAAACGCTTTTCCTTTGATGAACAGTCTATCAGATATTTTTGGCTCAAATCGGAATGGTGAGAATTTTCAGCTAACCATCAGCAACGGTGGAAACGCAGGCCTGATTACCTATGGAGCTATCGACACCACAAACTGTCAGTCGCAGATCAACTACGTCCCCCTTTCGGCTGAAACCTACTGGCAATTCCCCATTGCTGGATTCTCCATCGGAAGCTTCTCAGAGAGCAAGAAGGACCAGGTTTGTAAAGGTTACACGCACCACTCCTTGAGCAGCCCACATTCGTCTCTTGAAGGTTATCTCCGACACTGGTACCTCATGGATCGGAGCTCCAACCAGCGTTATCAGCGGTGTTGTCAAGCAGACTGGCGCAAAGTACGACTTCGCCAACGAGCTCTACACTGTCGATTGCTCAACCCAGAAGACCCAGCCCGACCTCATCTTCACCATCAATGGTGTTAAATACAACGTCCCCTCTGTAGAGTATGTGCTCGACCTTGGGCTTGGTAACGGAAAGGTATGGGGGCATTTGAAGTTTATATCATAATAGATATAGCTAGGATAAGCGCGTACACATTCAGTGCGCTTTGACCTTCTTCGGCATGAACTCTGGCGGTTTCGGTCCAGCCTGGATTCTTGGAGACACCTGGATCCGCACCTACTGCAACATCTACGACATCGGCCAAAAGCGAATTGGTTTCGCAAAGGCAAACCACTCCGGCCTCTAAACTGTGTTTTAGACGGATCAAATGTAGATAAAAATAAATATTGAAATTACCTCTAAATGAAACAAACAAGTGAAGACCACGTCCGCGTGGGTACTATACATTGGACCGAATCGAATAATTATTGGACCACTTGGATAGAATACTCTATTCAATATTCGAAATTTTTCAACAAAAAAATCGAATATTTTCAATTTTCGACTAATTCGAAAATTCGAATGTTCGAGAATTCCAACTTTCGAAATATTCGATTATTCTAATATTCGAAATCTTCAGTTCTCGAATGATTAGAATATTCGAATACTCGACGGATCATGGAATACTCGAATAATCGAACAGTCCCGGTATTCGAATATCTTTGATGTTTGTAGTACGATTTTACTTAAATCGTCAGTGTTACAGGACCCTCGTTGTGGGACCTGGGACTTCCTAAAACGGAAGATCCTTTACCTTACTTCCATTTTGATAAGCTGCATTTTC